TGTTATGCAAAACGTGGACAAATATTTTTGAACCGATTGATATTCATGTTGATGGTTCTTCTCTTTCACCAAAAGCCTCAGTGCTTCGATCTTTGGGCGTGTGAACACAAAGGTGCCTCGAATCGAATCTGGAGCTGGAGCTCTAAATTTAGAAGGCATCAAGCTTCTATTGTTGGAACGTCCGTCCATACTTAGAAATTCGTCGTAGTAAATCGCCTCTAGCCCGGCCGGGTCTCCGATGACCCTTCTGTCAAAAAATGGTTTCAGCTGATCCGGTAACACTAAACTGGATGGATCATCATCAACATGTTTGCAAATGTGAGCCCATGATTTCATGAACATGGTTGAGGTCTTGCCGTCTAGGATTGCATGGTGAGTTGCAATGCCAATAGAGAATCCGCGGTTAGGAAATGTAGTGACTTGCAAAGCCATGGCTGCGGCTTTTTCCTGCGAGAAAGCCAACTGGGGTATAAGAGGGTGGTATTCTTTGGCTTCAACATCGAGGTTGTTGCTTGAAATATGATCGAAATGATCGGCAGACTGGGATGTGGATATGGTGAGCGAAACGGCGTCGCCTTGGACATAACTGAGAGTGGGCTTTGGGGAGTCTTGGGGCCATGTGAGGTTCCCTGCTAGTGGTAGGAATTGTTGGAGGGCGATAGAGAGCGAGGCTTTGAGTTTTGAAACGAGTGTGGTGGTGTCAAAGGAATTAGAAGAGATTTGATAGAAGAAAAGGCGTTGGACGGGTGCAAATCTGAGCCAGAGCAAATCAAACACGGTTAGAGGAAGGGCCTCAGGTGGTGGTGTGGCTGAGCAAGCTGGTGAGCTTGGTGGTGGAGCAACCTTGCAAACCTCAACCACTTTGACTGAGTTCGGCGCTGCCATTGGGGATGGATTATGGAAGCAAAGTTCAAACAAGGGTTTAATATAACTGATGGAGGGAGAAAAATGCCGGCTATTTGTTAACTTGTGTCAGTCCATATCGAATTGACTAATGGGCAATAGACATGTGCATATCGAATTGAAGAATGGGCAGATCTCATCTCATCATCAACCATTCATCACTTTGTGTTCACAAGCACGATGATTAAATTTAAATACATATGTTACACTTCAAATATTATTTAATTATCGACAATAGAATTCCCTTCATTCCATATCTTTGAATAGAAATTAATTAATAATTCTTTTGGAAGGGGAATCACAAACCTGTGTAACTTTTGACGTTAAGCCTGGAGCTTTAGGGAATCGGGCAAGTTTGGGAAGACAACGTGCGTACCATGGAGATGAAGGTGATCACATGTTGTTACCAAAAAAAAAAAAAAGGAAAAAAAAAGAAGGTGATCAGATGCATATACTATTTTTTTTTTTTTTTTTTTACAATTATTTTATGTTAAGGCACCCACACCCCTACGTTGCCATTCCCCTGCCACTAGCAATCCCACAACAAATATCACATGTGATGGCACCACCACTATCACAAGATGATAAACATTAAATTACATCTTTTTTTTTTGTCAAAACTTTAAATTACGTGTTTAATTTTGTTATAGCCAACAATGAACGTTACAAATTCTACAACATTACTTTTCATAATTTTAAATTTCATCATTTAAGAATTTTTTAGTACTTTTAAATTTCCTCATCCAAACACAACTGAAGATGATTAAGTCAATTAAAGAAGTCAATTGATTGTAGCAATGATGAATTAAGGAAGTTAATTAATCACTCAAACATTGGATGTTCAAATTGGCATTTAAAGATTTTTGAGCAATAATATATGTGTGTGCACGCCTACAACCTATAAATTTTTTAAAATCAACTTAGTGCCAGTTTGAGATTGCTGTCACTTGTTAAAAAGTTATTTCTATTGTGTTTTGAAAATAATTAGTTGTAAAGTAAAGTAGCTCTATATTTGGTAAGCAATATTTTTAAAGTGCTGTTACTACAAATTATATTGTTCTGTAAGGAGACATTACTTTTGTGGATTACGTTGTTGCTCATAACCATTTGAATGTGAATCCTGCATTACATATAGGTTCATGTCAAGCAAATATTTCTAAATAGGCATAAACTATAAACAATCCTGATTCAATGAATACCTTATTCAAATGTGCAATGAATGCCTTGATATTGCAATAACAGACTCTAAATCGTCGTCGTGGAGGGAGAGTTGTCCGTGCTTTGTATGGGAATTGTTGATATGAACAGTACAAATTTTAATACGTAGAAGTTTGTATCAGGCCTGGTCTCAAGTAGCCTGTTGGATTTGTGGTTCAAGTCAAAAACCCATCAGGTCTCAAGTGGCCTGTTGGATTTGTATCAGGCCTGGTTTCCTACTCTCAACAGCCCTCTTAGTAGATATTTGGGCTTTTAATTAGGACTGCTAAGCATTACTGATTATGCCCCATCTGTAAAATTAATTAGTTACTAGTCTCTAATTAAGAACATTCACAATGAGCTCTTTAAACTACATTATAAGGAGGAATTGAAAAAATACAACTTCAACCATGCTCTCTATTCACCTTTTAAATTATGGCTCCCTATAATTTAATGCTGCTTTATTTAATGAGTATTTCAAATCTTTAATTAATGCTAACTATTTTTTATATTATTTTTAAATAGATATGGACCAATTAAAAAAGAGTTATAGCATTTATGACTCCTTAAACTAGAGAGCATGATTGGAGTTTAAATTTTATAAAGAGCTCCTAAACTAACTTTTATATGTTTTTAGCTAAAATTTAACTAAAAAATAGAGAGTACGATTGTGGACGCTCTAAGTTAACTCATTTGAATTGAAGGTGTACTTTTTTTTTTAATTCTTATTTTTGGTAGAATAGATGCTTTATTAAAAATAATAAGAATTATAAGAGTGTATAAAAAATAACACTGGAAACAATAAATATTATCCAAAACTCAAACATAAGAGACATGAACAAATGCGTAATCGAAGGGATACTCTCATTCACTACAAAAATACAAAAAATAGGGAATAGATGCCTTTTATTATGTAACCACATTGTTGGAATGTCCCTAACATTAAAGAGAGTCCTATTTGTACCTTCATAAAAATTATTCTGTATTGTCAAATCAGGAAGGAAATGAAGAAAAAAAATATAATTACACTCCAACCTTAAAGAAGTTAATCTTAATAACATAGTAGGATTATTGGATATCATGGTTGTAACTAATACTCACATTCGGTCGCTCGTTATACTTTAGTGGTAAAGCACTTAAGTATCGATGATTGATATACTCTTGTTAATATTAATTGTTAAATTAATATCTTAATTAATCATACATATATGGACAGATTAGAATATTTGGATTAAGGAATATAGTTAGTGAGATGCGCATATAATTAACATATTGCTGGTAGATTAAGTATTGAGAAGGGTTGAGGGTGATGAGTCGGGAGGTGACAGAAGACTTGTGTCTGGAATCCGGGGACCATTTATTGGGGCCAACGCTCTTTATATAGTCAGTTTGTGAAGCTCTCTCAGTAGAGGCAGTACTGTCTACTGTGCCCGACCTTGAGATCCCCGCCACTGCCTGTTTGATTAGGGCTCTTTCCACACACACAGACGAAAACCCTAAATTTTTCTGTCCCGTCTCTTTCTTCCCCTGCAAAAGAAGCAGCAGTGCCTCTCTCTGTTTAATTTTCTCCTCTCAACAGAAACTCTTCAGCTGAGAATTCAGAACTAGTTGTATATATATGGACAACTTTTAAAGGTTACTACTTTCTTGTTAGTTAGTGTTCCCAGTTTAACTTTCGGGAATATGTAATTAATTATGGTTTCTAGCCGTTCAATTTATATAGTCTTGCTTGCTTTTCCTAGGTCACTTTCTGATGGACGGCTGCAACTAGGGTTTTGAAGTTCTGATATTTATATATATACACATATATCACATGTAGTGTAGGAAACTAATAATTCATAATAAAGGAAAAGGATGAATGATGGAGATCATTAAATCCAACGGTTGAATTGAGGGTTTTGAAAAGAGAAATGAATGAATTCCATTTGATTATATTACGGCTGGTAGATAGAGTGTCAGCTGCAAGGTCCTCAAAACTTGAATTACTCCGTGCATATCTCTCTGCAAGAAAAAAGTTGTGTGGTCCTATTCCTTCTTCTCATTACTCACTCAGTGGGTCTTTTAAAAGCAAATGCATGCATTGGTCCCTCACCTATAAGGTAGCTTCTCACTGTCTTAAGTACCTTATCATACACATGTTAATGCTTAACACTATATACACCACAACTTTTGGTAGCCTATGCTATATACCTTTCTAATTTAATCCAAACTTAATCTTCTTAACCCATATGAAATCTTCTTGTCCATTTGCTCCTCTCTCACTAATCTACTCACTTAATTATGCCATATTTGATTATGTATGATTGGGAATACTCACGCAACATAACATATAGTTAGACTGTTCGACATGTGACATATGCTATCGAAAAAATTGGACCACACATATTATTTGGATATGGGAAGAAATCTTCAATCTAGTAAAGGTTTGCCCACATGAACATGTTCATCTTTCTTAGTACCATAGGCGTGCATGTGAAAGGGATATATCTAAGCCTTTTATTACTTGAAGATAAAGCTCGACTCACCACTTTCGAATGTGCAGCATGGTCCCCAATTGAATTTTCTAATTTTGATTTTAATGTGTAATACTCTCTATGTGTCGCCTAAAAACGTGTCATATATATAACGTGGTTTTAGCATCTAGCTAGAGAATTTAATATTACACCAAATTAATAATCGTTACTTTGTCACAATGATTGATTGCTTAACATTGTGCATGCGTGATGAGAAAATGATGGGATATCGACTAGTAGCTAGTTGCACCCACATTTCATTCGAGTTGAGGGCTAGTGTGCCACGTGGCACTGTATGCGCCACTGCTTTATCTTTCCTTAGAGCAAGGTCGGTGGAATTCCGGCGCCCTCCTTTTTTCTTCTTCTTCTTCTCCGGGGCTCTCTCTCTCTCTCTCTCTCTCTCTTTCTACTTCTTCTTCAACAAGTTTTTATTCTCATTCTCCACACAGCTGTAGAATATTTTAGTCTTCAATGTTGTAGGCGGCCGCTTGGTTGAGTTATTAGTTGTGCGCTCTACCAAATTTACAAGGCAATTTATAGCTTGAACAAGACAGTCAGAGATAGAGCAAATCAAAACCACTACGCCTTTCTTGGTCATCTGTCTAGTGCTCAAGCACCAAAAACTGGTCTGCAAAACAAGAAGCAGAAAATGTTTACTTTCATGTAAGTTGGGTAAATTTTATTTTCATAATTATATATATATATATATATATAAATATAAACATCACATACCTAGCTGCATATATTTGTCACTTGATAATTACCCAATTCGATTAATTTGTGAGATATTAATGTTACTTTGTTTGGGAGAACTTGAATAAACATTTCCATGGCTTCTGGATCTTTTCTTCTCTTAAGCTTCTTTGGATTTCGTAGATGAAACAATTCTACACTTCTTTTTTTAATTTTTTTTTCTTTGGCGATTCATGGTGAAGCAGATTATGACCAGAACATGTACTTGGAGAAGAGGAGAAGCATATCATGAAGCAAAGTTGATAAGAGAGAGAGAGAATAGAAATCTCATCAGTCATATTATCTTGACCTGAAAAGATGAAATCTTCCAGTAGTTGACCAATGACGAGAGAGTACATAAGATGATTAAGAGTCACAATGAAGCAGATTTACAAGAAGCAGCAGGCAATTCAAGCCGTGATGATCAAGCCAATAAATTCTCAACAAAAGCTAATGATTTGTCGCGTCCATCGACACCATGGCTACGGTTGAAGGATCCAAGGATTGTGCGTGTGTCCAGAGCTTTTGGAGGAAAGGACAGGCACAGCAAGGTTTGCACCGTAAAAGGGCTTCGAGATCGGCGGGTGAGGCTTTCTGTACCCACTGCTATACAGTTGTATGACCTTCAAGAAAGGCTTGGTCTTAACCAGCCTAGCAAAGTTGTCGATTGGTTGCTTGACGCCGCGAAGCATGAAATTGATGAACTTCCTCCGCTGCCGCTGCCACCATCTGGGAATTTTGGCCTAAATCACCCATCATTAGTCCTCACTTCATCTCATGGTGTCCAAACCCATGCTCATGCCCAATTATCTCATGATAATGGAGAAGGTCCTAGTGGTGGAATTGCACCGGCCAGATCACATTTTTGGAGCACAAATTCGGATGCTATTTGGAGAGGGAAATCAAAAGAAATTGCAAGAGACACAACAAATGAGGAGGAAGAAGAAAATCAGAAAGATATAAGCACTGGATCAGACCAAAAGGAAGAAGGAACTGTTGATGGTAATTCATCATCAAACAACTTCTTAACCAGAATTAGCACCAACCATCCATTCTTTCCAGGTCTTGTCAATAATGCCATGCCTTATGCTTACCATAATTGGGATCATAATCAGCCTTCAAATTTCCCACTATCTCAATTAGGAAGCCATGGATTCCCATCCCAAACTGCAGATCTCCACAACTTCATTAACGTCGTCTCGTTGCCCTCCACATTGTCTTTATCTACAACACAATCTCATTTCCCTTCACATAATGCTGCGGCTGCAGCAGAGATCGATCCGAGACAATTCAACCACATGCATATGTTAAGCTCAAGCAGTACTTCTCAGAACCTCTTGCCAAATTCTCTTTCACCAACTCTATACCCTAATAGCCAGACCCTGAGAGCACCCCATTTGAGCATGATGACTAAGCTTGTGCGTTCTTCAAACAACACTACTGGAAGTGATCATCATCAGCCAAATACAGACCAGGAGTCCCCTTCTAGATGATGCACATGATGCAATTAATTCCAGAAGTCGTGAAAAGCAGCTTTCCTTTTATAAGAAACAAAGCATATGGCTCAGATTCTTTTGAAATTGGGAGCTAGGCTAGCTATAGCTAGGAAGCGCAGGCAAAGGTACAGGAACACATCCTACGATGCTTGTCGGATTTCAGTCAGTCTTCTAAATGTTCATTTCAGATTAAAGATAAATGTTTTGATTTCCTACTTAATTTTTCTTTGTAGTGTTATATGACATTCAAATCTGCAATTAAATTATATTAAAAAAAAAAAAAAAAAAAAAAGAGGTTTCGGCCGTAAATTCGAAGCATTGGCTGCTATATATATGAATGGAATTTGGTATGGTGAGACGCTACCCTTCTGTTCATAACTCATTTTCAGTAGATTATTGTATTTAAATCTCTGTGCGTGCTATGTTCATTGAAGTGAGAATTAAAAAAGTTATAGTTTGGGATTATTATCTTCTTTTTCTATGTTCGGGGATGATTATTAAACACTCATGAGATTATATGATGCATTGTTCTATCTAGCTAGCAGCTGCAAAGAAAGATTTAAAACCCTAGAAATAATGAGAGCAACAAAGAGAGACAAATTGTTTTCTTTTTCTTTCCGCTAGCTAGATATCACGCAAACATGAAATTAAAGGATGGAGTCTGGAATGAATAGGATGTACGTCAGAGTTGAAGCTTCTTCTGATGGAGAAGAAGGTAAAGGAAGAAGAGAGGCACAGGCTTTAATTAATTAACGACCTAGAGTGAGACGTATGAGAGAGATGTTTGAGAACAGTACTGTCAACATCACGTACACAAGATCCAACAGCATCAATATTACATAAGTATATATGGAAGGAATCTCACGCTGGTTTGGATATGTAGAGGGAAAAAGGAAAAAAGAAAATGAAGAACTTATGTACAATTGCTTTGCTGGTATAAGGGTTTTGAGAGTTTGTTGTCTTCTCATCTGTGTTGTGTCCAGTAGTGGATGCCTGCTTCTGTATACCTTAGGACTTGGAGAATTCATTTGTAGTTATCTGCAGGGAATTCGGTCCTTGATGAATTAAGGAATAGTAAAGATCATTAACTAAAATAATTCATTAGAATCAGAATAGTTTGAATCTGATATAGTTGATTCTGATTTGTGGCCTTGAAACTGAGCAATGCATTTTAAGCTACAATAAGGCCAAGATGATTGAACAGCAGTGGTACTATAGTAAGTACTGCAAGTGCTGTCTGCTGAATTTGTTTTACATATATATGCACAGATGCATACATCACTTTACAGGGAACCGCAGGAAGTTGTTGCACGCAGTTGGGGCAATAATAATCGAGCAAAGAGAAAGAGGTGAATCCTCATCATATTTCTGTCAAAGTAACTTATACTATCTGCAGATGTTACTATTGCTGGTTGAAATATGCATATGGCATATGGCATATGTATATATATATAGTGACAGTGAATTCAAAAAATCCCTAACACAAAATCCAAACACACGCACCCAAGTTTTCAAATTCTACCCTAGAGTATATATATTGGAGTAATTGCTCCCCCGAGGAAAAGTTTTGGGTTCGAGTTGCATCCGTATAATGTGTGTGGATTTAGTATGTTATCTCGCCTACCTCAATAGGAAAGTTCGTCCATTTTTTTACACATTTGTCCCCTTAAAAAAAGAAAGTAGTAGTTTTGTTTTGGATTTTTTTTTTTTTTTTTCTCAAGTGAGGACCATTTTGATTTATTTGAACATTTCATTATAAGGGAATTTTGATATAGCTTATTATGGAACCAACAATTAATATTAATATAGACTTAATTTTTTCTAATAATATTATTAAAAAAAATTGTCGAAATTGTCTAATAATATTAGTTGTATACATGAATGGCACGAACTCATCTTGACTTGACCAACACAATGTTACTAATTACAAGCCATATATTGTTCCACGCATTACTTCACACAAAAGTTGTGTTAAAGTATGTCAATCGTTCATGTGCGTGAGAGTATTCAATCAACAATAGAAATCACACACATCACTTATCATAACTCCTGCAAATAATCACACCTTAACATCACATGGTAAGAAGCTGGTGAATGTGTCATGGTAGATATCATTGCTGTTATCTTGAAACCATTAGGCTATAACGAAACCATTTATTTAGTAAAACGTGAGAGAGGCTTCCAAAATGTGCAAGTCCAATAATTCATATACGAATGAAAGATTAGACCTGATATACTACTTGTCGTCAAGTTCTTGGGTACTAATATCACTAAAAACGACAAGTCGTGCAACTTAGGTAGGTACCACCACCAGACCAATGCCTTGCGTGACAGGTGTCAACCAAGAGCAACGGTTTTCAAGTCTCTCTTCTATTCTATTCCCTTCTTCCCGTTCGTAGGTTGTTAGAAACAATCATTTCCTTTCCTACAACTCCAGCTCCTAACTCCCAACTCCCAACTCCCGTTCAACTCAAACCTTGTCCCTCTCGCTCGCTCTCTCTCTCTCTCTCTCTCTCTCTCTCTCTCGATCCAGAGGTTTTTCTAGGGTTTAAGCCCAATCCAAACTCAAATCTTTTCTCCTCGAACGTTTCTAGAAAAGAAACGGTTTCTTCGCTCGTTTTCAATTCGGAGCGAATGGTGTTTGGAGCGCCACTGCATCTCTGAGCTCGACCTCTACGTGGCCAATGCGTCTCAATTAGATTGCAAAGCCCTAGACTTCGCCGGTAAGCCTCCATCCCAAAGTTTCTTTCTTTATCATTCTCGTCTTCTTTCTTTTTTATCGGTTCAATTGGTTGATTCAGTTCCAAGGGATAATTTTTAGGGTTTGATTCGTTCTTCCAGTTTGGTCGCTGAGCAAACTCAGAAAAATTTAATTTTCGATTTATGTTTGTAAGTTTTTTTTTTTGGGTGCGCCCTCTTTTATAATTTATAACGGCTAAGCAGTTTCATTCGTTAATTGTATGCTCCCTTTACTGAGACAAGGTTTGTAAAAGAAAGAACAAATCAAATCTTTGTAGCGAACCCAACTAGCTCAGTAAAGTTCCGTTTCCAGTTTTCGTTCTTTTCTTTTTGGGTTGTTTTGGCTGTGTTCGGATATGAGTTTTAATCTTATGTTGGTTTTTCTTGCATTTTCTTAGGAAAGAAACAGAGGCATAAGTGAGTGGTTGATGAAGCTTTATGGGTAAATAATTTGGGGTTTGCTGGGTTTTCACCTAGAATGTTGGTTTTAAATATACCACGTCGGGTGGCCTGATATGAGGGGTTGAATATGAGCGATGGAGGTGGGGAGAGTGGAAGAGAACATGAACAACACAATAGAACACAGAGAAAATCGAGCGGTGATGATTTTGCCCGAGCTATTGCCAAGATTGCAGTAGCACAAGTATGTGAAATAGTGGGGTTTCAGACTTTCCAGTTGTCTGCTATTGAAACACTGTCGGATGTTGCTGTTCACTACATTCACAACATTGGAAAGACGGCACATTTCTATGCTAATTTATCTGGCAGAATGGATTGTAATGTTTTTGATATCATTCAAGGGTTGGAAGATTTGGGCTTGGCGCAGGGGTTTGCAGGTGCTTCAGATGTTGATCATTGTCTTGCAAGTTCAGGGACGGTTAGGGAAATTGCTCAGTATGTTGGTGAAACTGAGCATATTCCATTTTCCTACTCTATTCCTCAATTCCCAGTTGTTAAGGACCGGAAGCTCACTCCAAGTTTTTTGCAAAGTGGGGTAGAGACATCTGGAGAGCATATACCTATTTGGTTGCCTGCATTTCCTGAACCCCATACATATGTTCAATCACCAATATCCAATGAGAGAGCTAGAGAACTTCACACTGATATGATTGAGCAGAAAAAAAAACAGAGAAATGTGGAGCGGTCTCTATTCAATTTGCAGCAGAGGCTGGTATGCAATGGGTTGGAGGGACCATCTATTGACCCCGGAGATGCTGATAAGGCAAAACAAGCAAGAGAAAGTAACCCTTTTCTTGCTGCACCTTTGCAATATGGGGAGACAGAAGTATCTCATGTTGCTCTTCCAGCTAAACTTTCAAGTGAAACAACAGTGGAAAAACTTGTTGCTGAGAACCGTGTCGCAGAGAAGTGTTCTTCAGTGTTGGAGACCTTTGCTCCGGCTATTGAAGCAATGAAGAGCAGCTCGTGTGAATCACAGGAGGAACATAAAGAGATTCTTTTGAGCAGGAGACCAACTGTTCAATTTAAGATTGGAAGTGCAAAGACGTCCTTTAGTACTATGTTACATTCAAGCCCACATAACAAGGGTTTTCAGAAAAATTATCCCTGGTTTGGAAGAGAAAATGAGAAGGAGGAAAAGAAAAAGAGGACTGAGAAAATTCTGAAGAATTCCATGGAAAACTCACAGGAGCTTGCTCAGTTGTAAATTAGGTTGTTTTTTTTCATAGAATTTGTACACTTGTTTAGGAGACTGGCAATGGAAGCTGGCTCGCATAGTGTTGTCTGCATATGGGCATTATAGAATGGATATTACAAAGTTCTGGAGGGAATTTTCCCACTTTAACAAGTTTCTGAGGTATGTTAGTGCCAGTTGCTATAGACCCAGTTAATGATTCTTTCTAATTGAAATTCTTTTCTCCCTTTTTTGTTTGTTCTTTCATGATATTTGTCTGAATGAGTGCAGAAATATTACTCCTAACCGTTTGTATACTTTGTTGCTTTATATAGGCGTCTCCAAAAAAGTCAAAATCTATGTTTGGTGTAATATTTTGGTTCATTTACTCAGTATCCTACGGGCAGAGTAATGAACGGTTAAATGTCTTTTCCTTTCTGAAAAAATCGTGCATGAGAAATTTGGAAGGGAAAGATGCATACACTATGATTGTATGTTTACATGTGTGTCATTAGCTCCTATCAAAGATTTACATGTTTGAGAATAGCTGAATTTCTACCCAATAGTTATTATGACTTTACAGAAGATAAGCTAAAATAAAATCCACCTCCCCTCCTTTTTTCCAAACAAAATCTGGAAGAAAAAAAAATTAGAAAAAGAAAAAGACTATGAGGGAATGAGTAAGATTGCATAAGAATTATTTATTAAAGAAAATCAATGCTATCAGATCCCCTTCTTGGCAAGCTTGCAGTGCCTACCAGACCAACCATGCAGCTCAAGCTTCATCCCCACTCACAACTTCAGTCAGTCTTTAGAGATCAACCACTTGACATCCAACACCAAACCTGGAATTTAACCATCCAATGCCTTGATTGATGCATGAAATCTTCCCACAAGGTGTTTCACAAACTGTCATCCTCATCATCTAGGCTACCATTTGAGTTTTTGAATCAACGCTACCAAAGCCCCCTCTCAGAGAACAGTTGCCTGCAATGCCCACCAGACCAACCATGCAGGCCAACTGCATCATCACTCACAATTTCAGTTATCAAATCCTTAAATATCAACCGCTCAACATCCAACACTACACCTGGAATTTCACTGTCACACTCTGTCCAATTCTTTGCCTGATCCATGAAATCCTCCAACAAGATGTTTCTCAAACTATCATCCTTGTCATCTAGGCTGCCATTCAAATTGTTTCTTTGTAGCTGGTCAACCTCTGAACATATTTCTCTGAAAAGCTGCTGGCCTCTTGGTTTCCCTTCTGCAAGCTTGTGTGGTGAGAACCACTGCTTGAAAGAGTCTTCCACCACTAGTTTTTGAATTAGAAATTCATTAACCACTTCAAATACTAGTTTTCTTTGAATTTTGTCGTCAGGTTTGGATTGGAGAATCGCTTTGCATATTTTTCCATCATCAAAAGGCTTTGTATTTGTCCTGATTTCTTCCAGTGCAAGAAACAAATGAGGGTTGATCAGGTGGTCAAATGTGTCGAGCTCAATGGTTGTCCAGGCAGATTCAAGATACCTTAGAATACCTGATGCCAGCAATATATCTGAAATGTACATGTGGTCTGGATTTGTGCTGTCACAGAGAGGACCCAGGATGGACTCCCCATGTGTGCTGCTCATGCATCCATGATTCTGAATCAGGTGCTTCAGGTTCTCTAACATTGAATGATCAATTTCGACCCCAAGATTGGGCATCGTGTTGTGTGATAACAGAGCTATGTCCATGGGGTCATACTCCACTACATAAAGATTTTGTGCTTCATCGTCTGCAGCATGAAATTTGAGGAAATTTAATTTAAAGGAGTATTGCATGTTTTATGCTATACATAAGGTCTCAATTGCACAAGAGCTTTACCTTTAAAGGAATTTGATATCTTCTTCACTGGAGATGGTGAGTCATCCCGGTAGAATGTCGAATCAAGAACAGAGACAGGACTTGGTTGTTCAGAGGAAGCTTTCCCTGGTTCTCCCATTGACCTATCATCACTCAACCCCACTGCTGGGCTCTGTGAAAGTAAAAAGAAACCTGTCAACCCAGATAAGCAAATAACTACATGTATGAATGAGAACCGGGACAACCATACCTTCTGTTTTTGGCTATGCTGGTTGAAGTGCATGTGTTTTGTCCTATCTGATTGATGAATGATTGTGACTTCTGTGTCTGTATGTGAGGCCAAGCTGATGTTACTCTCAGATTGCTGAGAAGTGGCATCATCTCGATGACTCATATCTCTCGTGTTGGTGCTAGTCTCCCTCAACTGCGCATTACTTTGACTCAAACTGGGAGACTTTTGCTCAAGTTTTTTAACTGGGGTGTTTGCTTCAAATGACTGCCTAGTGTGTTCCCTTCTGGTCATGCTTGAACTTGATGATGGAGTGCTTGGAGGAGATTGCTTCTCCAATCCAAGTTTTCTCTGTTGCAGTCTTGGGCTTGTGATTCCTGAACTCCTACTTGAGCTGGTGGGGATCGCTTCCCTCATATTTTGGGACACCTTTGGTTTCTGTAGGGGTTTCACAGTTCTTGTGTTAGAATTATTATCAGTGGAACGAAGGCGTCGATTGAAAGGATCTTTGATATGATTGGTCTTTGGAGTCAGATCTTTGGCTCGTTTTTTGTCAACCAATCCTTTTCCATTATCACCAGGGTCACTAGTTCGAAGCCTCCGAAGACCTAATGTGTCGTCCATGGAATTCACTGTGGAAGCAGAGCTGTGGGTTTTCTCGATGAGTTTAGCTGGTTTCATGATGATCGGTGACTTATGACTCTTTGGAGATTGGGAACCCTTGGCTTTGGCAGGAACTGACATGTTGCTTTGTAGATTTCTCTGGCTTGCTGATTCTCTGCTGTCAGAAAAAATGCTTTTGTTGCTTATTTGAGATGCAACATTTGAAGCTTGATCCTTTCTGTCATCTAACATTTCTTTAGTTTTCTGCATTGCTTCAAGTATTTGCTTCAGAGCTCTGAGATCCTTTCCTGATTTTTTAAACTCAAGATTTGCTAGCCTTTTCTCCATTTCACCATATACTGAAGATGCTGATTTTGGGGTTTTTATAGGTTCTTCTTGATACTTGGAAGCTGATCGCTGAGAACCTTTGCTTCCATGGGGCTGCCTCCAAGGAGCTGTTTCTATTGGAAACTTAGAATTTGAGGCCGGCTTCATGACTGAATCAGTACTTCTCCTCTTGGGGGAGGTGAAGTCTTTCTGTGTTTTCCCAAGGAATACCCCAGACAAAAGATCTGGCTTGTTTTCGTTGGTTGCTCTTGAAGATCTGGAGAAGGGGTCTGATCTATCAGATATGCAGGTATTAATCAACCTTAATGGACTAACAGTGGTTGACACTGAATCTGCCAGATCCAGTCCCATCAACTTTGCAACAACATTAGATGGTCTGTTAGAACTTCCAGGTTCAAGCTGCAGGTCATGCACTTTATTGCAGTTCCCATCCTCCCTCTGCGGATCCTTGCAGAAGTAGTTTGATTTTATTTCTGGATTACAACCCCTCCTTATGGAACGTTCTTTGCTGTCCAAAGAAAGCCTTGGGAGTTCTTTCAGTTTTATGGTGGATTTTGATGTATCTCGCGTTTCTCTTCCATCATAAGAGAACCTCCTAGCATCTTTTGGTACCAAGCGCATGCAACCATCCTTCTCTTCATTGGAACTCCAAGGTGCTTGCCGAAGCTTAGCAGGAGCTTGAAATGAGTCATTAACGCCAGAAACCCTTGGCTTTACAAATTTTGGTTGTGATGAAGGCCTGGGAGAGTCTATGTATTTCAATGTATGACCGACTGCATCTTTACCGGCAGGTTTAACTGAAATGCCTCGGGCTTCTCTGTAGGTCGAGTCTTTGACAAGATCTTGCATATCAAAGGATTGCCGGCGCAGGTGCATTGAAGCATTTGGTTGGTTCATGGATAGGTCCCGAGTGTGTTCCTCATTTGAAATGGTTTGGCTGGACAAAGATGGTTCTTGCTCAGCTGCTTTTTTATATTCAAGGGATGAGAAGCTAGATGAACAAGAAGAAGAAGAAACAGTAGTTCTTGATGATTCTGTGGAGTTTCTGTGTTTCTCTTTCACCACCTTTTTTCGATTTTTATCCTGCAATTGCAAATTGCATATAATGAATCCATCTCTTTCAATCTGATCAAAAGATTAAGGCTTCTATTTAAAAGTTAAATCCACTAATGTGATTAGGTGCTGAATTCTTACTGTAGCTTTCTGCAATGTGTTCTTGGACTCTACTGCGTGGTTGCCATTCTCACCTGGAAAAAAAAAAATTATATATATATTAACATGTTGGTCGTTGAGAGAATGGCATGAAAAACACAAGCAAATGCGATTAACAGTTCATAAATTATGCATTGTGAAACCATAAACACTAATGAAATATGCATACGTCTTATTTAACAATTTGCAGATGGTTGTGTAAAAATATTGCTGAAAACTGATCAAATTCGAAACTCTTACAAGTTCTGAGCTAAATTTTGCAAAAATCCAACTTCTCATTACAAACCAATGGTTTTTGAGGAACCAGTTTATTAAACTTCTTTGAGCTATATATGCTGAACTTTTAAAAATGGCAGAGGGAATAAATACCTGAAGGAAGTCTCTTGTGGCTGTTGCCATTGATACCCCGGCCGGCGGGGAAATGGTGGCGATCAAAGAGCTGAAAAATTCCACTCATGCACCCAATTTGCTTATGGAAATCTGGACTTTCATCTGTTAGAGAGTGCAAAATCTTTGCAGACATCTTCACTTCACCTGTTCTTCCTCAGTTTCACAATCTAACAGCTTACAAGCTTTGAGCTTCCATTTCTGTAATTCCAGGTAGCCAAAGGTTTGTAAATAATTGAGTTTGAAGAATGTTAGAAGACTCAAAAACCATATGGTTTCAAGAACAATGAGGAGTTTTATGTCTAGCCAGAAAGAACAGAGCTTGTCTGAGTTTTTTTTTTTCTCAAGTCACTATTCTTGTAGCTAGTTAAAAGACTTTAAAGGACTGCATTGAGGTTTCTCTATATTAACAATCTCCTGGCAGAAAAAATAAAAATAAAACTTGAGAAAAAATGAAGTTTCTTCAAGAATTACTTGTTTATTTTGGAGCTCCTAAAAAAAAATTTGTCTAGAACAACAAAAGAGAATGAGAGGACAAGAAATAAGAAAAAAAACATAATAGTTGCCCAGAATAAGTCCCATACCTTACGGTGTATATATAAAAAAATAAATTGTTTTTGGGTTTCAGAAGAAGGCAGACAATATCTCCCTGCAAAACCAAAAGGAACAAAAGAGACATATGGGAAGGGCCCCAACACTCAACAGTCACCACCAGCCCCACCTTCTAAGGAGTAAAGTAGGACTACCAAAATACAACTGCACCAGAGGGTTAAGTTCTGCAGACCCAAGAAGAAATGTCCTTTTTTTTTCCCCTTTTCTTTTTCTTTCTTTTGGGTTTTCTCACTCTCACAGCACAAAAGAATACTTTGTCCTTTGGCTCCCTCTAGGAAAGGCAAGCACATAAGAAGGTTTGTGGTGTATTTATTATGTATGCAGTGCTCAATACCAGATTGGCAAAGAATGAGAATTGGTGATAACCTTCTATATTATAATTGCATATGAGAGAGAAGGAGTTTTAGTAGCTAAGATTATTGCATTTTTCAAAATCATATATATTATATCAGAGAGTTGGGATCCCAACACTCTTAATTAATCTTGCAATTTGGTCTTCCTCTATTAAAAACCAATTAGAAAACCATAAGTTTTGAAAAAGAAACAAGTGTCATATATAAAATTCCCAAAGAGAATTAGAGGCTAAGATGAGGAGGAAGAAAGAGATGTGGAGAGAGGTGGGGAGATGTGAATGGGTGGGTGGGTCAGATCACAGATGTGGTTTGTTCATATGTTTCTCTACATTTCCATGTGGACAAAATTATGGGTGGGTCTGGAGGCAGGCAGGGCCTCTCTCTTTACACGAGCATGTGGATTTGTCAGAGGGTGTAAGAAATAAGAAAGTGGATTTGTGTACTGGCAACCTTTCTTCGCACAGCCTATAAAGCCTTTTCTCCAACCATCCTAGCCAAATTACTAACCTACCCTCCTCTAGATAATCTGACTTCTCCGATAGGAGATATTCTCTCTTCATGCAAATCACGGTTTGACGCATGTATAAAAATAATTCATCAAAAATATAAAAAGAAAAACTTATACACGCACATGTCAATGTCCTTCATCCAAATCACAATTTAATGCACGTGCAAAAATAATTCATCAAAAATATAAAAAGAAAAACTTCTACACGTATATGTCAATGTCAAGGCTCTTCCTTACGAATGAAAGAATGGAGTATTTTTCATCTTTCAAAGGCGACTTATAAACATTAAACAACTACATAAGAATCATTTTCTTTGCTTTGTTTCTATATGATTGTGGTAAATTTTGAGTCTTTCAAATTACTACTAAATTCAAGTATTATAAAGTTATAGTAAAGATGGGAAAAAAGATGCACGTCGGTGGTCAGGTAAACACAATTCTTTAAACTCTTTATGCTGAATTTGCTGGCAAGGATCAGACTCTGCCACTGCAAAGCAGGCTTTATATAAGTATTTAAGCTGAAGATTGGTCGCAATATTTTGTTACAAGTTAAATAATTTCTTTGATGTACAGCAGCAGGACACAGAATATTGCAGATCCTGAAGTCGTTTGGACCACCATAGTTTTCCCAATATTATTTGTGTAGAAAAGACACACGTTTACAGCACTGCTTTATGCTTCATTTGAGTCATTTTGAGCCCCTTGGAAAATTGCATATTCTCCGTCTATTTGTGTCTGTTTCTTCTTTTCCTTTTTTTTCTTTTTGGTGAAAATTCATTCGTAAAAGATAAAAGAAATAAAATGGGAACAGTTGCAGAAATGTTTTTTTACTTAGGAACGTGTTCCTAATATTAGCCTTATATATCATCTATTATGTTACTGGGTATGGACCTAACTTTATCGCACCAATGTGCTCATCGGTCATACAAAAAAGTTGAGATTTCAATCCAAAATTAATTAGCAATAGGAGAGTAATCTAACTCCTTATAAGTCATTTTAAGATTTGTTAGTTTTCCAATGTAAGACAATTTCACTTTCACATTCTCACATTAACTTCTAATAAAATCATTAGGGGTGGTTGCGGTTCGGTAACCGCGAATTTTTACTCAAACCGCAAACCGACCGACTATTTGCGGTTTGGTGATTTTTGAAACCGCAAAACGCGGTCGGTTACCGCGAATTAGCGGTTTTAAACCGCAAGTTCTCAAGCATTCACAAAAATATAAATTCACAACCTAAATAAATAAATACACAACCTCAATTTCTCAAGCATAAATAAATTCACAATCTCCTCAACTTCTCAAGCATTCGCAACCTAAGAAAATTAAAGTTACAATTCCATGCATTCCAATTAAAGTTAAACTTCTCAAGCATTCCAATTCCAAATCCTTTAAAGTTACAAACCAAAAGCAAAATGCAAAGCAAAATGAATTAAAGTTACAACTAAAAAGAAAAATCCAATTTGGTGGTGAGTGGATTTGAAGAACTCCGTTGTATTGTTTGAACACCAATGTTATCTACAAATAAAACAACATAGTTTAATACATTTTATTATAAGAAGAAGCATAAATAACATTAGCATAAATAAACTAATTACTTACAAGTTGTCATATGTTCCATTTCTTTGTAGAATTCAACCTCATCATTCGTGCTGCTATACTTTGCGGTTTGCGGTAACCGCAAATTTTAAAAATCAAATACCGCAACCGCAACCGCAAATACGGTTCGGTTTACAGTGATTGCGGTTTCATTGCGGTAAATTGTCGGTTGGTTTTTACGGTTTTTCAGTTTTTCGGTTTAAAATGTCACCCCTAAAAATCATAATGTCGGCATGATCTATTATGCCTAGACCAGAGAATGTACACTATTTGTACATGTAACCTCTAGTTTTGGAAACTAGCTAGGGTTAGGGTTTAAGCTTTGATGCGTGAAGTGCACTTCTTTGTTTCTTTGCTATGTCTTGAAACCAAGTACAAATATTAATACACACCATTAATAGGATCTGTTAAATTTAGACACAAATTCAAAATCGACTGAGGAGCTTATCACTCACGTTTTGTTCAACATAATAATTACCGTACGTCTGATTTGAAATGTGTACAAATTTTTTTTTATAGTTTGTGGCTAATTGGAAAAACATGTGTCTAAGTGCTTCCACAAGAAATGTCCTCGGTCAATATAATGCCAACAAGCAGCATGGTCTGGCATTTTGTTTATAAGTTTTGTACATATCAGCAAAAATGGGGTGGCCCAACACTTAAATTTTGTGTGTAAGTATGTCGTCCTTAGTAGACGTCCAACAAGTATTTAGGCATCTAGGGTTCCCAAAATTGTGCACAAGATATACACCTTAATTCCCAGAATACATTCCTTGTGTTGCTTTGATAAATTATCTAAACCCCAACAAAATTTTAAATCACTTTACAGAAATAGATCTGTAAATATGGTACAAATTTTAAGTAAATATTGATGTGGTTCGAAAACCCTTGTTTGGGAGTGATTCTGAATAAGTAAATAATCATTTCTATGGAAAATCATTTCAAGTGATTTTATGGAGCAGCACATAAGATGTGTTTTTTCTCATAATTGCTTAAAATCACTCTAAGTGATTATATGAATAAGCACGTGAGAGGTATTTCTCTTCATAAGTGATTCTGGCCCTCCCAGAATCACTCCTAAACGAGCCCACCAAGCATTGTGTTTTGTTAAAGACAATTGAGCCTTGCAAATTAATTGCCACATCCACACCACCACATACCACATTGTAATTTTGGTGAAGACAGTGAAGCAAAGAGTGGTCAAATTTACTTTTCATTATTAACGATTCTTCCTTGAGTTAAGGACATTGTTCTTATCAATTCCATTGTGATGTCTTTGTTCTTTCATTTGATTAATTGCTACGATTTTGAAGTTGCAGTAAGATAAAGAAAATGACGCACACCCCACTAGCTATAAATGGTGCCTCCTTTTTCAGCTATAGCATTATCTGGGCTATAATCACTCTCGTACTCAGAAATTTTATATATGATTAAGAAAGTCGCATTCATGATCATCTCCATTAATTCGATAAATATATGTATATATAGAATTAGGGTAGGAGTGGCACGTGCTTTGGTTCAACATGGAGTACGGATATATTAGTCCTTAAAAGCTAGGATTGACCCATCAAACAAGCTATAGTTTGTGAGGAACATTAATTATTAACAATTACACCTTTACATTTTCTTTTTGTCGCCAAATTTAAAAGGGTAGTGGGATTACAATGAGCATAAATTCTATTACAAGATGATTAAAATATGAGACCTTTTTGGAGTTTATCTTGGACCAAAAAGAGCAAAGTTTTAACCTTTTAAGATGTAGGTGTTGAATCCAATCTCCCCTCCCATGTTAGGTGCCACCCAAAATGCAAGCGCGTAAGTGCCAAGCTTTCTATCTACCTATTATGTTTATGGAAAGCACGTTGTGGAAGCAATTCGACATTTTCGCATATACAGACCTGTAAATATTCTAATTTGTACACAGAGAATATTACTAAAATCTTATATATGAACATGATGAACATACTGAAATGGTTCTTTCGTTGGCTTTTTATGAGATTGAGACGTACGTAACATACTAACATACCCATATTAATATTATTATATTGATCATATGCCAACGGAGTGAAGATCCTAAAACCCTTTTCAAAAGTATATAGTTATATGCTCAGATTTGTTTAGTATATGGTGTGATGGTGGTATGCATCATCATTTTCAAACACTACCCTGCTAGCTACTAAATAATAAAATATGAGTTAGTTTAATTTTGGTACTTGTGAAATAAGTTAGCTAGAGTTTTGCTTGCATGGGAATGTTAGCTAGCTTGCTTTAATTAAACTATTATTATTACACATGGAGGAATTTCTGAGTGCACTATAGTTGTGCGACACAACGGATTCGTTACTATAACTAACTGGTCTAATTCACATCTGCTAAAGCTACTTAATTATTATTTCGTATAGCTGATGCAATCTCTCTTATATGATAGAGAGGGAGTGATCCATCGTGATAGAGATGAGGGACTTATAATTGTTGAAATTGAAGAGGGAGGGAGGTGGGGGGGGTGCAGGGCCACATGGGAAAAGTGAAACTATCACATGATGAGGGGATTGCCTATCTGCCTTTTAGCTTAGCTTCATTTGAAGGGGACCAACTAAGCATCTCCATCATAATATCCTAAACTAGGTTCCAAGAAGAAGCATTGCAGCATCAACCCAACATGATTGCCACATGATCTCCACATCCCCACAAATTCTCATCACCCAATTAACTTCAAGTCACCACATGAATAAAGAAAACTAAGGGGCTAGCTTTGTGAAAGTCAACAAAAATGGGATAATATCCCATAGATGTCCCAATTATTTATCGAATTTAAATGTACAAATA